GATTCTTTTGTATAGTGAATATTAGCGTTCGTTCAAAGCTGGAAATGGCTTTTGTGGCGATTTTTTATTAGTGAAACATTCAGTTCTAAAAAAGTACTTTAAACCATATAAATAAGTTACCCGAGTAATTGATTTACATCAACCAATCAAACGAATTTCTGACGTACAAGGTTAGGTGTAACATGAAAATCAACATCTATAATTGATTTTTAAGAGATCCCAAATTTGGCAACATTTCACATTTTCTGATATATATATGTTACGTGCCAAAACTTTTAGAAAATAATTACAAAAACTTACTTTTGTTTACACTAGTATGATACTAAAAACCAATGACGTTAATTTATTCAAAAAAGCAAGAAAAAGGTTTGATAATGTCAATATATTGGTGACCTGTTAAAGAAGTTCCTTAAAACCAATACCACTTTGACTTCGGTGAATATTATGGACGTTGGAACAGAAAAAATAATATCACTATGGGATGTTATTCTTTCTGAAAACACAAAATTAAATTCTCTAGCCATTGCCAATAATGAAATTGGCAAAAGCTTTAACCGAATTTTCTTTTCGAAAATGATTCTATAACAACATTGGATCTCCTGCCACAACGATCTTGGTCCAGAAGGGGAGATTCTTAATGATAACATTGGGCCGGAAGGTGAACACAAATTTGGTGCTGCGTTGAAGAGAACACCACATAGATCTTAATGGTAATGATCTTGGACCAAGTGGGTCGATTTTGCGCTTGGACTTTATGAGAATATAAATTTATATACAGTAATTAAATAGGGTAACAAAATTAGATAGGGAGGATAAATTAGTCTTAAGTTCATAAAATTTGTATTGTAAATTATGTAACTAATTACTATGCAATAAATTATAAAATTATATAACTAATTACTATGTAATGAATTATAAAATTTATAATAAATATTTACGAACAAAAAAGTTCGTCTTTAAAAAAAAATAAATAAATAAGCTACGATCATACTGTCACATGTGTGACAGTTGATCGACGTAATTAAAATATATATGAGTAATCGAAAATGTCGCAATAAATAAGTAATGCGATATATATAAATTATGCGAATAAACAATGAGAGTAATTATTTAGTAATAGTTTTGTAATAATTGTCAAATGCAAATGTATAAAAGTAATAAGTTGTAAGCAAGAGAAAAGGGCGTCTCCTGCATAAGCATTCTCTTAATAAAGTAATTACCCATTGATATAAATATAAACTTGTCGTTTAATACAATAA